TTTCGAGGGGGGCAGGTGGGAGCATATGACCACGAGTCCCCACTTCCATTCTGAAATGGACAAACACAGGTCGACACAGTGAAAAGCAAGACCATTGTGCTGCAATCATTTCGAGTGTCACTGTCAAGACCCCGGTTCTAATCCCGACTTAGCCAATGACGATGAGCCAATCACCTTGCTGCCTACTTTGAAAGATTTTTGCGCAGATAAACGAAAACACTAAACCATGCATACTTGAGCTCCTTGGAAGGCAGGATATAATTATCATTCAGTCAATTTGTTTTAGTATACAGAGAGAGAAACGCTCCAGTAGCAGGGGTCAGAATAGGTAGCCTAGCGCACTATACATTCTTATGATTCACACCAGTTGTGTAACAGTTTCTCTTGAGAAACAGTCTCTCAGTGCGACTCTAGACCAAGGACACGGGCTACATTTACTAATTTATGTCTCAAATCTTCGGGTTAAATTAAAAGTTAAGAAATATGTGTACTCTCTGAAATTAGCTTGTTTTTTTTTGTGTGTGTTTTCTGTTACAGTGTGATTTCCTCAGAGATGACTGTCTGGACAACCACGCTTGCAAATTGAGTCTGTGTTTACTTTCCAATAACCAATCACAAAACAAGGCACCAGAACACTACGAGACACAGAGGGGAAGGGGGAGCAATGCAGTGACGGAAAAACATGGTTCGCCACTTACAGAACCATAATATGATAACTGTATTGTCTATTTGTTTAGTATCCATTCCCTCTGGACTCTCAAGATGCTCCATTAGTAGGGATATCCTCAGAAACGAGCTTGGTCTTGAACCGCAGAACAACTCTGTACTGAAAGTTGCCAGAGGCTGAAGACTAAGTGTTCTCAAAATATCTGTGCTCGCTTGCACGTCTCTTTCCCCATTCTACCTCATCCCACCCCCCACCCCAACATGCCAAACAATATATTAGACCTAAATATTTGAATTGTAGTCAGCCTTACCAAACAGATCGCCAGAAGGAAAAATACAGATACATTGGTACTCCCCGCTATTTTTTTAAAAAAAATCCCGCTAGTGTGCAATCTGTTACACAAAAGAAGTCTACTGCAAGGTTTACAAGAGCAGTAAAGCAAAGAGAACAAGGTTTAAAAAAAAACAGCTGCAGGTTATAAAACAAATCAATAGATCATCCAGAGATTTTTAAAAAGCTGCTTTTAAAAGCAGATACAAAAAGATGAGGCTACAGAGCAAAGTCTAGAGAGACAGACTCAAAGATGTTAGGCCGCCTCCGGGATCTGGCAATCCGAGAGAACAGCAAAAAGAAGGGGCAGGGAAGCTGATCTCAGGTACTAGAAGGGTTCATATTTCTGTGCATTCTCACTTTTAATCATCATCATCATCTTGGAACTGCAGAGCAGGAGGGGACCCTATGGATCATCGGATGGTCCAGGCTCTCTCAAGGAGGCCCAGTGGAGAATCGAACTCCCAACCTCTGGCTTCGCAGCCTGAGACTTAAATCACTATGCTTTTCTCTACTTTAAATCACACCCTCCTCTCCCCCTTTTATCTCCTCTCTCTAAAATTTGAGTTTCAATGCAAAACTGCAAAGTCTTTGCTCCTGAATCCTTGCTTGTTCTTTTTATTATTATTTATTCTTCGCCGAACTTCAAGAAGTGTTTGGAAGTTAATTTGATTATTTTACAATTTTAACACAGCCCTGGCTTGTCTTACAGGGCAGTTCAAATAAGAAACTCTTATGGCTGTAGGATGTCAGGATTAGCAGAAATCTCTTCAACTGGTTCGCAGCTCGTGTCTCAACAGAGCTGCCTGCTGATCTTGGGGCTCCGTTAGCTGAAGAGCAGAAAAACAGGAGATGAAAGAGCAAAGAACCCAGTTAGATCCAAACCTCTTCAAGTCCAAAGGCCCAGCAACCGGTCCAGTCAGGACCACTAGGCTTCAACTAGCCTCTGTGGGCTCTGCTGAACCTTGGCCATCTTGACCTGTGGACTCTGTTGAACCTTGGCCATCTTCAACTGGCCTCTATGCACTCTTTTGAACCTTGGCCATCTTCAGCTGGCCTCTATGCACTCTTTTGAACCTTGGCCATCTTCAGCTGGCCTCTATGCACTCTTTTGAACCTTGGCCATCTTCAGCTGGCCTCTATGCACTCTTTTGAACCTTGGCCATCTTCAGCTGGCCTCTATGCACTCTTTTGAACCTTGGCCATCTTCAGCTGGCCTCTATGCACTCTTTTGAACCTTGGCCATCTTCAGCTGGCCTCTATGCACTCTTTTGAACCTTGGCCATCTTCAGCTGGCCTCTATGCACTCTTTTGAACCTTGGCCATCTTCAGCTGGCCTCTATGCACTCTTTTGAACCTTGGCCATCTTCAGCTGGCCTCTATGCACTCTTTTGAACCTTGGCCATCTTCAGCTGGCCTCTATGCACTCTTTTGAACCTTGGTCATCTTCAACTGGCCTCTGTGCACTCTCTTGAATCTTGGCCATCTTCAACTGGCCTCTATGCACTCTTTTTTGAACCTTGGCCATCTTCAACTGGCCTCTATGCACTCTTTTGAACCTTGGCCATCTTCAACTGGCCTCTGGGGACTCTGTTAAACCTTGGCCATCTTGACCTGTGGACTCTGTTGAACCTTGGCCATCTTCAACTGGCCTCTATGCACTCTTTTGAACCTTGGCCATCTTCAACTGGCCTCTGTGGACTCCGTTGAACCTTGGCCATCTTGACCTGTGGACTCTGTTGAACCTTGGCCATCTTCAACTGGCCCCTGTGGACTCTGTTGAACCTTGGCCATCTTGCATTGCTAGGTTTAAATGCTACCCATGTACATAAGCCTAACTTGTATTACTGATTTACACTTGTGTAAAAAAAATCTTGTAAGCCTTGAAGGAAAATTGCTGCTCATTAAAAAAGGGGTTGGTTGCACATAGGAACACAACCAGCATCTTGCTAACGATCAGTGACTTCCTGCCAATTCCCTGTAGGTAAGCTCAGACTAGCAATATTCTGGGTCACCTTGTTGGGAGAGAGGTGGCATATTAAACAAACAAATATTACGATTCTGGTCATTATAGCAGGAGACCACGACAAACTTAATAGAATCCCTAAAATTTTCTAACCACTGCAGGAATATCTGAAGATAAGGCAGTTCCACATGCAAACTCTAAAGGCCATGATATAAAAAAGGAAAAGAAGGGAGGCAGAAAGTAAAAGAAGCATCTTCTGTGATCAAAAGATACAGTTGTGTTGCTAAGATGTTCTTCCCTGGGAGACAAGAGTGCAGCCTCCCACCCGTCTTCTGGAAAGGGCCTTTCAACTCTTTTTTTTTATTGTGACTCTTTCAACTAGAGTCACAATAAAACTCCAGTCTACCTCTGCTTTCAAGAAAGTATATTTTCCAAGTCTCATTACATGTTGTTCTTCTTGTTTCCTGTATCTTTGAGTGAGTTAATTCCACTGAGGAACAGCAACATTCTGCGTTACAGATTTCAGCATCTATTTTTGGGGGGCTCTGCATGTGGTCATGACACGTGTACATCAACAGAAGCTATTGTGAGTTCATCCAGAGAACAGGTTTTCCTCCCAAATTGGATTGATTTTCTTTAAAGAAAAAGATTTCATGCCTTCCACAGGCACATCTTATAAGTGAACATATTTGGTAATTGCTTACCAGACTGACCATTCAATACACAGAACCAGTGACTGGACGCAACATTTGCCCCCCACCCACCCCAATGTCCTCCCCTACCATCTTAAAGGCACAATAGGACACCCATATGAAACAGCAGACATGCAAATTTGTCACCCCTAAAATGTTAAGCCCTGCGATTGCGGATAAGTGGCACATTTATGTTTTAAGACTGTCCAGTTCCTGCATGCTTTGGCCAGCAAATACAGTGGTGCCTCGCTTGATGTTAATTTGTTCCAGCGAATTCGCTGCAGAGCGAAAACGTCGTCAAACGAAATAAAAAAACCCATTGAAACGCACTGAAAACCATTCAATGCATTCCAATGGGCTTGTCCAGCGAAGATCCACTATATGGTGGCCATTTTCGGTGCCTGTAAAGCGAGGAATCCGTCCTAGAAAACTGCGGGGGGCCATTTTCTTCAGTCGGCGGCCATTTTGAAACCTGACGATCAGCTGTTTGCTGATCGTCGTAAAGCGAAAATCGGTTCCCGAAGCAGGGAACCGATCATCGCACAGCGAAAAAACCCTATTTAAAACATCGTTTTGCGATCGCAAAAATGTCAACATAAAGCAGAGTCGTCGTAGAGCAGGGTAATCGTCCAGCGGGGCATGACTGTACACTTCTCACTTCAATTGCACAGGTCTGGTTCTGGTTACACATGGATTTTCCCCGTATATACAGTGTACATATATATGTCTCCAGGAAGTGGCCTGAGAAAGGTGACTTTTGGACTTACCGAGGCTCTTGGTGGTGGTGGCTGGGGAGAGTGCTCGGCCATGCTGGGAAAATGATGCAGTTCATGGGAGGCTACAGTGATGTGCTGCTACTTTTGGGGAGATCATGCCTCCGTTTTCTCCCACTGGTGGATGTTTCAGTTACGTTTTAGGAGGTGTAAGAGTTATACATGGATTTGGAACGACACGAGGCTCTGGCGCCCCTAAACCCAGTGTTGTTGAAGGGAGAAGTATATTTCGGTCCCACTGCACCCCTTGAAAAACCAGTCCAAAGTAATATTTAAAAATGATGAAGGCCCATATTAAGGGCTGGCCGTTGCTTCGATTAAAAGGAGAAGCTGCTAGTCTTGACTCACTTCCGAGTTTTCACACGGCTTTCAACGTCTCCAAAAAGGCACATATAAAAATATTTGCATTCAGCCAATTAATCAGTTCATTAGTAAGAAGCAGATGCTTAATCAGCTAAAAATTCTGCCATCCACTGACAGCCCAACAAAAAATGCAAATGTTTATAGACAATCGCCTCGTCTTCATCATTCTGCACACGAGACGTGCACTGAATAAATTGCGCAGCACTCACCTTTCCGGACCATGACTTTGAAACCAGCTGCAGCAAACACCACGCATGGAGATTAACTGCCGACCGGCGCAAAACCGGATTGCAAAGTCTTATCTGCAAAAGAGAGAGACATATGTGGGGGCGGTGTTATTCAACCATTTAAAAGAAGCCTCTAGAGTGCTCCAAAATCTATGGCTATGGCAGGGCTGGTCCAACATCTTTTGCTGCCTCAGTGGGAAAGATAAAACGGTGTAGCCATATAATCCCTCACTCAAAGTATTGAAGCATCTAAATAGTGAGGAGACAGAGTTCCCAAGTCACATCCAGCTGATAAGGACCAAGTTAGAGGATTCAAGCTCTGCTTCCCAAGATCTTTCAGCCTATCCTATCCTACCCAGAACTTCCTGTCTCAAGGAGTGTTCCCACTCTGCCCAAGGTTAGAGCCAGCCAAGGAGCAAAGCAGTTGTTTCTTGTAACTGGGAGTGGGTCTCCAAAAGCAGAATATGCACAAGAGAGTAAGTGTTATGGAGAGAATATTACACCAGAGAAGGAACGAGCAACGTCTGTAGTTGCTCACTCCTTCTTTGGCTCCCAGAGACCCATTGCAACCTGCTTGCCTCTCAACACCACCCACATTTAAGTTTAAACACGGACTCAAAAAAAGGCAGTGCACCCTACATGGGATGTAGGGGGCAATTTCCCCATATTTTGAGAAACCCTAGCAAGCCTGGCTCCCGCTATACCCCCAAAATGAGTTTTAGGAGGTGTAAGTAGGCCACTGTGGTGCTGGAGGAGACTCTTGAGAGTCCCCTGGACTGCAAAGAGAACAAACCTATCAATTTTAAAGAACATCAACCCTGAGTGCTCACTGGAAGGACAGATCCTGAAGCTGAGGCTCCAATACTTTGGCCATCTCATGAGAAGAGAAGACCCTGATGTTGGGAAAGTGTGAGGTCAAGAGGAGAAGGGGACGACAGGGGACGAGATGGTTGGACAGTGTCATGGAAATGACCAACATTAATTTGACCTAACTCTGGGAGGCAGTGGAAGACAGGAGGGCCTGGCGTACTCTGGTCCATGGGGTCACGAAGAGTTGGACACAACTAAACAACTAAACAACAACAAAGACCTATGGGGTTGGACACATATATGGACTCTGGAAGTTGCCCATCCAACGTCCTGGTGTGTCATTGACTGCACTGGCTCCAGGTTCACCAAGACTGGCTTTTACCTTTGAAACAGAGTTAAGGTACATGGGGTGCCCCATATATTGCTGAATGTGAACTCTCTTTAACTAGCACAAGCATTTGTGGGGGCCAATGAGGCTTTTAAGTCCAATAGCCAGAGATCCATAGGTCCAACTCTCACTCTAAGGCTCAACATGGCTTGGCGGCAGTCTACCTGATGCATTCGCATGCCTCCACATGTGTCCAGCTATGCTTGAAGTCCTCCTTCAAGTCCTGCGGCCATCTACAGGGTGGTAGGTGGCGATGAAGGACACAGCCTTCTCAGTGGTGGCCTCCAGCTTTGGAATGACCTGATGCCTGCACTGATGTTTGTCTTTTTTGGGTAGAGGTCTTTTTACAAAGCATTCTGCAGGATTTCAAAGTTTCAATGGGACATTTTTACTTGGATGACTGTGCTTTGTGCTATTTTTATAGCTCTCCTCTTGCTTACATGTTTTACTTGGATGACTGTGCTTTGTGCTATCTTTATAGCTCTCCTCTTGCTTATCAGACCTTTTATTATGGTTTTAATATTTTACTATGCATCCTCTTAATATTTTACTATGCATCCTCTTAAAAATGCCTTATAATAGGGAATAAGGTTATTGGACCATCTACCTAGAAATGTTCCATAGCCAGTCTCTTGCCTGCTTTTATGTATCCCCAAGCCCTTTCCTGAATGCTCTCCTATCACGGAAAAAAAAGTTATCCCAGGATTTGGATTCCTGCCTTGAGCAGGGGTTGAACGAAATGGCCTTACGGGACCCTTCCAATTCAATTATTCTATGATTCCAAGACTGGTGATTCTCCTCTAAAACAGCAGTGGTGCCTCACTTGATGACGATAATCCGTTCAATTGAAATCGTTGTTAAGTGAAATCGTCATCAAGCTTATTAAAAAAACCCATTGAAATGCATTGAAAACTGTTCAATGCATTCCAATGGGCTAAATAGCTGCTCGTTTTGCGAAGATACTCCATAGGGCGGCCATTTTCCAGTGCCTGTAAAGCGAGGAATCCATCCTAAAGCACAGTGGGGAGCCATTTTGCACAGCGGGCAGCCATTGTAGAGCCACCGATCAGCTGTTTTAGAATCATCGTCTAGCGAAAAATCGGTTCCCGAAGCAGGGAACCAATCATCATCAAGTAAATTTTTCCTATATAAACATCGTTTTCGCAATCGTGAAGCAGGGAACCAATCATCATCAAGCGAATTTTCCCTATATAAACATTGTTTTGCAATCGTTATTGCGATCACAAAAACCTCATCGTAAAGCGGATTCATCATTTAACGAGGTAATCGTTAAGCGAGGCACCACTGTATTGAAGACTAATACATTTTATTTCACATAAAGTTTGTTGGTCTGCAACCCACTTCTTTATATGCAGCTGGACTACAATCTATTCAAGTTGACTCTCCCTTAAAATTTCTTAGCTGTTAACATGCAACAGACCAACATGGCTGCATTCTCATGACCTCTTAAACAAAGCCCTGGGCTCTGCTTTAGCAGGTAAGTTGCTGGGGCTTCTTCTGAGGTTTCCCCAAAACTAGGAGTGAACTTTTGGTGACTTCTGGTTCTGAAGATGAAAACAAGAACCACCTTTTCAACCTGCAAAGACTTCAGGAGCAAGGGATTGAAAGTGACCCATGGACTCACTAACTTGCCCAACCCTCAATCTAGCATAATATTGCCCAATGGGCCTTCAGGTGGTTCTGGAAGGGATTCGGGCATGCTTCTGCTCTTGCTTTATGTGAAGATGTGAAATCAGGCACCTTCCGTGAGCCACACATGTATCCTTGTTACAGCCTTTCTCCGTGAGTTATTTAAACACGTAACGGATTGGAAGAACTGGTAAAAACATTAGCCAAAAGCATGAGACAAAGGAATAAATCATTCTAACAAAGCTAAAGGTCCTATAATTTTCTAAGAAAGAAGATATGCTGATATGTATCTTCCTTCCTTCCTTCCTTTCCTTTTCTAACGCCTTCATTAAAAAGGCCATACGAACACATCCAAAGTATTCTAAATAAATTAATGAAATAGCTTTTACTCACATAGAACTTCAAACATAAAATCCAGGAAAGGTGGTTTACTGCCAATGCAGCCACAAAGCGGAACCGTACTGAGTGAGGGGCTCCCCATCTGGGAGGGTTACATGGTGTTTTTATATTCTTTCGAGTTATCCATCATGGTAGCTATAAAAACTTCTCTTTCTAATAGTGAAAGAACCAGTATAAATACAGTGAAAAATATGGACTTCATTCAAATCTAAATATAAAGTTAGACCCTCTTTTCTGCTTATCTTTGCTGCTCATTACTTCCTCTTCTCTTTACTGTGCATTATTTCCTTATTGATTTGACCACATGCCTTATCCATAATACAAAACAGTTCCTTCTTCCTGCCACATTGTCATAATCTGGGTGCTTGCGAATAAGGTCATGGAAAGTGTATCCATACTGTATTCATATGCACAGATGGGAGTGTGTCATCCTTTTCTAACGCCTTCATTAAAAAGGCCATACGAACACATCCAAAGTATTCTAAATAAATTAATGAAATAGCTTTTACTCACATAGAACTTCAAACATAAAATCCAGGAAAGGTGGTTTACTGCCAATGCAGCCACAAAGCGGAACCGTACTGAGTGAGGGGCTCCCCATCTGGGAGGGTTACATGGTGTTTTTATATTCTTTCGAGTTATCCATCATGGTAGCTATAAAAACTTCTCTTTCTAATAGTGAAAGAACCAGTATAAATACAGTGAAAAATATGGACTTCATTCAAATCTAAATATAAAGTTGGACCCTCTTTTCTGCTTTGCTGCTCATTACTTCCTCTTCTCTTTACTGTGCATTATTTCCTTATTGATTTGACCACATGCCTTATCCATAATACAAAACAGTTCCTTCTTCCTGCCACATTGTCATAATCTGGGTGCTTGCGAATAAGGACATGACAAAACAGTTCCTTCTTCCTGCCACATTGTCATAATCTGGGTGCTTGCGAATAAGGTCATGGAAAGTGTATCCATACTGTATTCATATGCACAGATGGGAGTGTGTCAGCCATCCATTCATTTCTGCCATAAAAAGTGAATGGTAGCCATTTATTACATTGAATATAGGATAAAACAGTATTGTCTAAGCCAGATAGAGAGCTGGTTTAGCTCAGTAGGTGGGAGCACGCAGCTGCAGAGCCAGGGAGCATGGGTTGAAATCCATACTGTGTTTCTCAGAAGAGTGACCGGTCAAGATCATTTGGACATTGTGTGTTGGATGAGACCATTTCCTACTAGCCAAGCTGGAATTTCTGGAAGGCCAAAGATTCTATATCCTGGGCTAAGCTAGCCCCCCACCCCTGAAAATGACATGTCTGGGGTAAACAAACTCATATTTAATGGAAGCTAAGAGATAGCCTCAATCTTCACCAGGACACAGGTATCTTCTGCATCTTGTGTTCCATGTCTTGTTCTGATGGATCGTTGAGAATGATGTGTGCCAAGTTTGGCACCATCAGTTTCATAGAGGTAATTGCCTTTTCCCACTGCGAGAGTGGACAATTGTTAACCAGAATGCCACTTGAGAATATATTTCACAGTCTTTACCCTGAATCAATCTGGATGCATCCCATTTCTGTGCTGCCACATTACCGTATTTTTCCATGTATAAGACTATACTTTTGTCTAAAATCTTTAGACTAAAAATTGAGGGTCGTCTTATGCATGGAAGTAAGCTAAGGAGTGAACAAAAACAAATGGAGGGGAAAAGCAGGAATCAAAGAGATCCTGCAGCGCTTTGATCCTTTCCCCCTTGCACTTGCGGAGCCCCACTTAGACTTCTTAATTTTGGATTAGAAAAGTGGGGGTGGGGTGTCTTATACATGGGGGC